ACAGACAGACAGACAGACAGACAGACAGACAGACAGACAGACAGACAGACAGACATACCTACATACATATATACTCATTTCCAAATGACACTTGACATAAAGAATAGTGTTAGATAAAAAATAATCCATTGCAGACACAGGGACAAATTTTCATATGTAAAAAGAAGAAGCATTTCTGGATTTGAAAACCTGTATTTTAATGCACATAATACACACCTGGTGCTTCAAACCCCTCCTGAAAGGATAAGGTCCAAATTCAAAAAGTCAAAAAATGTACGTTCTTCCTCCTAGAAACTTTACATTGACATAGTAATCCTAAATTATGGTTTTCGAAATGTCTGGTAACAAAATACACTGGTACTGGTCAAATCTAAAGCATTTCAAGTTATGTCTGAAAGTTCGGCAGGATTAATATCGTGTGTGACCACCGCCTGCAGCAATGACGGAGCGGTATCTGCGCCTCATAGAGTTGACGATGATGGAAATTTGATGTTGTGGGATAGCGTTCCAAGCGCTGGTTAGGCTTTGAATCAACTGATCGTTGTTCTGAGGAGCGGCCTTCATCTCTTGGTTTTGAGGCCCAAGAATATCCCACACATGTTCAATCGGGTTCATGTCGGGAGGTACTGCTGGCCAGGGATGGATGAAACCGAATTGTTTGTTGTGCGAGGTAAGCTTGTGTCACCCTGGCACAATGGGCTCGAACGTTGTCCTATTGTAAGGTGTAGCCTGGATGGTTCTGAACAAGCAGTGCCACATGTGGTTACAATATGGTAGCTACGTAGTTGACGCTATTCTATGATGTCGGAGCATGTACCAGTGCCGTCCTGTGGTCTGTTGTGATTCCGCCCCAGACCATCACCTGCCCATATCCCCGGTTAGGGATTTCATGTACACACTGGTCAGCAAACCTTTCATTTCGACGGCGATATACCCGCACTCGACCATCGTAGCGACCTAGGACAAATCTAGACTCATCTGTGAAAAGGTCCTGAGAAGAATAACTGTCTGTGTGCTCATTAGTTGCTGTTGCGGCAGAGTTCTGGCTGTATGCGAAGCAGACTGGAACTTGTCTTCAGGTGGGTGGTGCATACCGATCCTGTGTCGGGGTGGTTACCCGAGACCTCCCTGATCTTGGTCGGTCTCTTGTACTTCCTGTGTTCATGTACCTGGTCTGCAGACTAGATGGTTTCCCTGCTAGAGTTAAAAACCCTTGCCACATCCACCACGGGAACGCCTGCTTCGAGATGCCCTGTAGCGCGCCCCTGCTCGTCTGCACTGAGACACGGTATGGTTGAAAGTCGACATTTTTCTAGATTTCTGAAGCTCGCAGTTCAAATGCAAACGATGTTTTCATAAACTTTTTACACACCTTTTGTAGGTTTTGAAATAAGCTACACATTGATAACAAAGACAACACAGAAAACTCATGCTTAACAGAATAACAAGTTAACAAGTGAAATCATACTAAACACACAGAATTGAGCGAACTCACTTAGTTGTGCTATCAAAATTGATTCCGAAGATAGTAAAACCAACACACTGCTCTGTACATAAATATCATCATTATCCGTTTTGATTTAATAGTATTATGTTTAAAGAAAATGTGTCAAGTTTCTTTTGGAAAGGAGTATATATACAGACAGACAGACAAACATACATACATATGTACAGAGAGACCGACAAACAGACAGACAGACAGAAAGTCTGGGTATGTGTGTATGTGTATGTGTGTGTGTGTGTGTGTGAGAGAAAGAGAGAGAGAGAGAGAGA